TGTTCTCCACTCCGACGTCGCCGACGTCGCCGATGCACCGCCGCTGCCGCCGATGCATCGGCGATGCAGGGGCCGTTCCTTCGGTCTGGGTCGAGGGGCCTCCTCGTGGGAGGCTCGCCATGGCCAGAGAAGGAGCGCTTCGCTTCTTCCGCCGGCCCGTAGTGTGCCATCGCAGGCACTTGCCTGCGCGTTCGTGGCCTCTTGGGGCCTCTTGGGGGCCGTTTGGGGTTTTCATTTTGGGCCTCCTCATTTTGGATCTCATTTTGGGCCTCACTGTTGGGGCGGAAGGCTCGAATTGGTGGTTCGTGTTTCCCTCTTGGGGCCGTCTTGGGCCCCTCTTGTCTCTTGGGCGATCTTGGGCGCCTCTGGGGCCGTTTTGGGGCCCTCTTGGATTGTCTTGGGACCCTTTTGGAGGCCTCTCGGGCCGTCGCGGGGTGGTCTCGGGGGTTTCTGGGGCCATGTTGGAGCGCCAGAAGCCCGAACACGCCAGAACGCGAAACACATATATAAAAACACACACGCACACACGGAATATCACTGACTTGTTTATTTTGGCCCTCTTTGGGGTCCTCTTGGAGCGCTCTTGGGCGGCTCGCCATATTTGGCGTTCCTTAGGGTAGCACGGTGGCTGTAAACCTTCGGAGGTCCGCCCGCATTTCTTGGATCGGCGCTTGACCCGCCTCTCTGGCGCGCTGGAGCGCGCCAGGGGCGGCGCCAGAACGCCGCAAGCGGTGTGTCCAGCGCCGGTCCCATGGAATCCGCGCGGAGCTCGGGACGTGCACGCTGACAGGCAGGACGCTGCAATCAAGACCACCCTGGGCTCGGGAGGGGCTCTGGTTTTCGGGCCGTTCCTCAGATCCAGGTCGGGGAAAGCATTCGCGGCAGAGCCTCGACGTGGCCAGAGAGGCCCCGCCGTTCCTTACTCAACTTTCCTGGTGGCAGCACGAAGGCTGTAGACAAGACCTTTCGGACTTTCGGAGGTCCGCGCGGATTTCTCGGATCGGCGGCGCAGGAGCCCCCTCCCTGGCGCGCTGGAGCGCGCCAGGGGCGGTGCCGGGGGCGCCGCAGGCGCGGGCGTCCGGTGGCGATCCCGAGGAGTCCGCCCGGATTTCTGACTATTTCTTTGGGTGGGTCTGGGCAACCCTGTGCTTCCTCGAACTGGTATCCCTGGAGGGGCCGGTTCTCACTTTTGCTGGCGTTCTGCTGGCTTCTGCTGGCGGAGCCGCCCCCGTTTTGTTCCCAACCATCCTGTGGTGTTGGGTCCTCGTTTTGGAGAGACGTCGCCCCGCGTTTCTCCTCTCCTCCTCTCCTCCTCTCCTCCTCCTCCTCCCCTCGCTCCTCCTTCTTCCATGCGTTTCACCCACCCAGCACAGCGTTTCGTGGCCCCATGAGCTCCACCAAAGCCCCACGTGCGTCCCCCACACCCAATTTGGCGTTTTCGCCCACCCAGTACAGTGTTTCGTGGCCTCATAGGGAGCTCCACCGAAGCCCCCAGTGGGACCGCCCGCATGCATCCCCCACACCCAATTTGGCATTTTCACCCACCCAGTACAGCGTTTCGTGACCCCATAGGGAGCTCCATCGAAGCCCCCAGTGGTACCGCCCACATGCGTCCCCCCCATTTTGGCATTTTCACCCACCCAGTACAGCGCTCCGTGGCCCAAGAGGGAACCCCACCGAAGCCCCCATTCGGACCGCCCGCAGGCGTCCCCACACCCAACTAGGCATTGCCACCCACCCAGCACAGTGTTTCGTGGCCCCATGGGGAGCTCCAGCGGAACCCCCAGTGGGACTGGCCGCATGCGCCCCCCACACCCAATTTGGTATTTTCACCCGACCAGTGCAGCGCTTCGTGTCCCCATAGGGAGCTCCGCCGAAGCCTCCAGTGGCACCGCCCGCATGCATCCCCCCACATTAAATTTGGCATTTTCACCTACCCAGCACAGCGCTTCGTAACCCCATAGGGAGCTCCCCGCATGCGTCCCCCACATCCATTTTGGCATTTTCACCCACCCAGTACAGCGCTCCGTGGCCCAAGAGGGAACCCCACCGAAGCCCCCAGTGGGACCGCCCGCAGGCGTCCCCACACCCAACTAGGCATTGCCACCCACCCAGCACAGTGTTTCGTGGCCCGATGGGGAGCTCCAGCGAAGCCCCCAGTGGGACTGGCCGCATGCGTCCCCCACTCTCAATTTGGCATTTTCGCCGACCCAGTACAGCGCTTCGTGTCCCCATAGGGAGCCCCACCGAAGCCCCCAGTGGGACCGCCCGCATGCGTCCCCCACACCCAATTTTGCATTTTCGCCGACCCAGTACATCGCTCCGTGGCCCCATAGGGAGCTCCACCGAAGCCCCCAGTGGTACCGCCCACATGCGTCCACCATGCCCAAATTGGCATTTTCACCCACCCAGTTTAGCGCTTCGTGGCCCAATAGGGAGCCCCACTGAAGCCATCAGTGGGGCCGCCCGCATGCGCCCCCCACACCCAACTTGGCAATGTCACCCACCCAGTACAGCGCTTCGTGGCCCCATAGGGAACCCCACCGAAGCCCCCAGTGGGACCGTCCGCATGCGTCCCCTACACCCGATTTGGCATTGTCACCCATCCAGTACAGCGCTCCGTGGCCCCATAGGGAGCTCCACCGAAGCCCCCAATGGGACCGCCCGCATGCGTCCCCCACACACCCAATTTGGCATTTTCACCCGCCCAGTACAGCGCTTCGTGGCCCCATAGGGAGCTCCACCGAAGCCTCCAGTGGGACCGCCCGCATGCGCCCCCCACACCCAAGTTTGCATTTTCACAGACCCAGTACAGCGCTTCGTGGCCCCATAGGGAGCCCCACCGAAGCCCCCAGTGGGGCCGCCCGCATGCGTCCCCCACACCCAATTTGACATTTTCACCCACCCTTTACAACGCCTCGCGGCCCCATGGGGAGCTCCACCGAAGCCCCCAATGGGACCGCCCGCATGCGTCCCACACGCCTAATTTGGTATCTTTACATTCACAGTGCAGCGTTCCGTGGCCTCATAGGGAGCTTCACCGACGGCCCCAGCGCTACCGCCCGCATGCGTTCCCCCCCCGCCCAGCGCAGCGCTTCGTGGCCCTATAGGGAGCTTCACCGAAAAGATATTTACAATTGCGGCACACACAGCTTCACATGGTTGGGTACTTCGCCAGGATAATTTGTTGTTCCGCCGTCCGCTGCGGAAGCGATGCCAACTTCTCCGTTCCTCGGAGGCAAGGCCCCTTCTGGAACGCCTCAATGGGCCTCTGCCGCCCTCGCCTCTCTCACAGGCGAGGGACGAGGACGACACCGTCCTGCGCCTGGTCTTCGTGGATGGCGCGCTCTCCGCAGAGCATTCGCTCCAGCGGGAGCCTTCGGGCGGCTCCGCGGGCGCGGGGGCGCTGCTCGCGGGCGGCGCCGCGGCCCTGCCCCTGCAGCCCGCGGCTCTGCGCGCGAGGGTGGGGGAGCTGCTGCAGTCGCTGCCCGAGGTACCCGAGGAGGAAGAGGTACCGATACCGCTGGCCCTGCCCTCGTTTTCCACCTGTTTCCAGGCCTCCCAGATGGGGTCAGGGTGGATGGGGTCGGAGGAACGCGCCGCATCGCCGGTGCGTCGGCGTTGCGGCTCGATGTGGAGCCCAATGTTCTCCGCGCCCACGTCGCCGATGCATCGCCGATGCATCGCCGATGCGGCGCGATCTTCCGACCCCATCTGCTCGGACCCCATGCGAGAGGCCTTTATGTTTGAGCCTCCTGGGAGGCTTTCGTCGCCACGGCTGGATTCGCCTCGAAATTATGATCACAGCGCGCCCTGGGAGAGGTCCTGGAAGTCGCGGTGTCGGTATCGTTTCGTTGCCCCGAGGTGGACACGTTCGTGCCCGCGGCGCCGCGCGACGCGCTGGGCTGCGCCAAGATGGCAGCCCTGAACCATGCGCTCTTCGAGGACTTCAGGGGCAACGTGAGGGCGGGATAGGCTCAGGGGGTTCAAGGTTCGAGGTTTTTCTCCAGTTGGGCTTCGCCATGGGGTTTCTTTCTTGTTGGGAAGAGCCGGCGGGTGCGAAGCGCGGTTGTCGCCGGAATCTCTTCGCTTCATTGGTTTTATTGGAGAGCCCTTACGGCCAGTGCCGCCGACCCTGAACGACGACGACGACGACGACGACCACGAAGACCACGACGACGACAGCGACGATGACGACGACCACGAAGACCTCGACGACGACGACGACGACAGCGACGATGACGACGACCACGAAGACCACGACGACGACGACGATGACGACGAGACGACGGGCCTTCTTTCTTGTTGAGAAGAGCCGGTGGGTTCGAGGCGCGGTCGTCGCCGGAATTTTTGGGCCTAATTTGTTTTATTTCCTCACGATGGAGGTCCCCAGGGGTCCTTGGCTTTGTTTCCTTACACAGAGCGTTGCCCAGGTTCGTTGGTCTTGGCTCCTTGGTTCCTTGGTTTTGGTGACAGTGTCGTGGTTCCTTGGTCTTGGTTCCTTGGTTCCTTGCTTTTGGTTCCTTGGCTCCTGGGTCTTGGTTCCTTGGTTCCTTGGTCCGTGATTCCTTGGTCTTGTGATCTTTGTCTTGATTCCTTGATTTCTTGGTCTTAGTTCCCTGGTTTGTTTAGTCTTGGTTCCTTGGTTTCTAGTTCCTCTGTTCCGTGGCTCCTTGGTTTTATTTCCTTGATTATTTGGTCTTTGTTCCTTGGTTCTTGGGTTTGGTTCCTTTGTTCCTTGGTCCTGGTTCGTTGGTTCCTTGGTCCTGGTTCCTCGGTTCCTTGGTCTTGGTTCCTTGCTGCCTCGCCACGCAAGGCCAAACAATGCAAAGCAACACAATTCAATTGCAAGGACTGCCTAGCAATGCCACGCAACGCCGATCAATTTCAAGCAGTGCCAAGCAATGCCAAGCAATGCCACGCAATACCAAGCACGGCCACGCAATGCCCAGCAGTATGCTAGGCACTGTGCCAGGCAATGTGCCAAGCAATGCTGGGCAATGCGCCTAGAGAGTAGGAGGCTTTCCCTTGATGGTGCTCGCGCCGGGCTCATCGGGCGTTTTCGTCGCTTCTCGGGGGCCTTTCGGCCTCGGGGGGCGCTCCTGCGGCTGCGCCTCGCTGAGAGGCTTCTCGGGGATGCCCGGATCCTCCCGACCGGCCGCTGGAGAGCCGAGCTGTGGCTCGCGAACCAGCGGGCCACTCTGGGGCGGGGGGGGGGGTACTTTCGCTCCGGGGGGAGACGCGTCGCCCACCCCGCCCGGGAGTGCGCGGATTCGCTATCGGGTGCACGCGGCGCCGATCTCGCGGCGACGCAGCGCCGATCCGGGGGCGGTGGCTCCCTCCCCGGAGCCGGTGCCACCCGTCACGCTGCCCCTGAGGACTGCGCCTGGCTGCACTGCCCTGGGGCGGACGGGCCCTCCGAGCCCGGCGAGCCGCTGCGAGTGGAGGTGGTCTTCATCACGAGCGGCTCTTCGCACGCGTGCTGCTCGCCGCGCGTCGTGGTCGACGCCGGCGCGAACCGGAGGCTCCACGTGACGGAGTCCCACCTGAGCATCGGCCCGGCCGGCGGGGGGGCCGACGCCTCGCTGTCGAACGCGGTCTGCAGAGTCGTGGTCGGCGAGGGCGCGGAGGTGAGGCACGTCTTGTTGCAGCAGAAGGCTAAGAAGGGGGAAAAGGTACCCATACCGCTACCTTTTCCTTGTTCTCCCCTTTTTGGGCCTCATGGGAGGCCCTCGTCGCCACCGCTGGATTCTCTTCGAAAGTCTGGTTAGACGCATCGAAATTCTGGTCAGAACGCACCCCGGGCGTAGCGGTATCGGTACTTATTGGTTTCCCCCATAGGCGGAGACCGCGCGGCTGGTGGAGTCCGTCACGGCGGAGGTGTCCGCCGGCGGCCGGTACGACCTCTGCTTGGTGCAGACCGGCGCCTGCTCCGCGCGCGTCAACGTAGCGGTGGCGCTCCTGGGCGAGTCGGCCGCCTGCGCGCTGAACGGGGTCATGGTCGCGGCTTCGGAGCAGCAGCTCGACCTGCACTCGCTCATCCACCACAGCGTGCCCTCGTGCACGAGCAGCCAGAAGCAGAAGCACGTCGTGTCCGACAGCGCCGAGTGCATCTTCAAAGGCTCCATCCGCGTGGACAAGGCGGCGCAGCAGACGACGAGCGACCAGATCTGCCGCTCCCTGCTGGTCACGAAGAAAGCTAAGGTGAAGGCGATGCCCTCCCTCCAGATCCAGGCTGACGACGTGGTCTGCAGCCACGGTGCCGCGGTGGCGAAGCTGAATGAGAGCGAGGTGTTCTACCTGATGTCCCGGGGGCTTGACAGGCGCAGCGCTCAGGAGCTGTTGCTGGTCGCCTTCCCGCAGGACCTCGTCGGAGGACTGAAAGAGACAGCTCCCAGGGCATTTCAGCGCATCGTGGATAAGCTGGGCTCAATCGCCGCCTCGGCCAAGGTTGAAGCTTGTTGAGGCAATGCCACGGCGGCTCCCGGTGCCAAGGGGAACGTGGGCTGATGGTTTGAGACACGCTTTAGCGGCGCAGCCCGCTCGCGTGGTGATGCCGGTTCCCTCGTCCTATGCCTTTGCCAACTTGATGGGGCTGCAGAGCAGCGTTATTTTGGAGAGCGAGCCCAGAGAATCGGCAACTTCTGCGCAGTTGCGCTGATCATGATGGACCTGTGCCCATCGCTTGGGCCCAGCGTTTCTTCAGCAGCTTCCAGGAAGCTGGCTCAACCAGCACATTCGCGCATGCCGCGTGCACAACATATCTGTATTGGCAGATCTGGCCGAGCGTTTGCTCAAAGTTTTGGCAGGAAGCTGTCCCAGATTTCAGGCTAGCCTTTTCTGAGCTACGGCCAAGACCGTGGTGGACATGTCTGCAGCGGGTCCAGCCGGATACATCCCTGCTCCACTTCTCGAAGTTTCTTCTTCTGCCCCTCATCTGTACGGAGCTGAGCCTCCCAGAGTACCCCCGCTTCACTCCTCGTGGCCTCTGTGTGTGCCCAAGCCGATCGCGGCCTTCGCCCCTGGCGCAAGGCCGGCGAGTGCCGGCGCGGTTTTTGAAGCCGAGACTGCACGAGCGTGGGCAGCGAGGGATCGGGTGCTGCCAGAAGTGCCTCTGGCCCAAGGTGCCCCCAGCCTTTCGTTCTGGAGCCCCTGGGGCCTGGGGCCCTCTGGGCCTCGCGAGGGGTGATCTGGAGGTCGTCTGTGGCTTGGGGCGCCGTGGGCCAGGGTCACTTCTAGCAACACCCGAAGGGAGTACCCAGCCGCCGCCTCGCTGCCCGCCCGCTCTCGGAGAGGGCGTCCCGCCAGGTAAGCCGCTCCGCCCACCTCCTGAGTCTGCAGTCACCCTGCTCAGCCCTGACTTTCCCCCCTCCTCCCCGCATTGCCCAGGAGGCCCCGCCACAAATTGGCCTTTTGAGGGCCAAAGGCTTGGCTGTTTCGGGACGACCGAAATGGGTATTAAAAGAATGGTCACGATGCCCAACAACGGTTCCTGTTCATTTTCAACAGGATTGGCTGTCCGCGTCGCCGCGGACATTGTTCTTTGAAGAAAAAAAGCTGCCTGCCCAACAGCGGCCGCTGTCTGTTTTGGACAACAGTCGTTGTTGGGCATTCTACCCATTTTTCCGTACCCATTGCGGGCGTCCAACATTTTGAATTTGGCATGAGGTCGGCCCGCGTGGCGAAATTCGGCCGCGAGATCTTCGGGGCGCCTGCGCCTCCTGGTTACTCGTTCGACCGCGATGCTCCCCAGCGGTACTTCCCTGGAGGGCCCTCCCGAGAGCCGAAGGGGGGAATTCGAAGGGACCCCCAAGGGGCCCAAGATAGCCTGCGAGACCGCCGGCAGGCCCCGCTGATGCCCCTGTATGTCTCGAAGGCCTCAGGAGCCCTCAGGAGGCCCCCGAGAGGCCTCCGCCGACTATTTCGGAGGCCCTACGAGAAGGCCTCTGGTGCACGACACTGGCGCGAATGGTGGGATAGGCCGCAGGCCACAGAGGGACTCGAAGGGCGACCAACCCGTGTCGGGCCGCCACGGTCGGTGGCCAGAGGCGGCTGGAAGGAATGATTGGTGATGTCCCGACGGAGGCCACTGCTGCACGGGCGAGGAGGATCAGCCCCAGCATGCATCTGGATTCGGCCTCGCCGTCGGGCCCCTTCCTCGATACATTGGCGCCTCCTGCGCCATGAGACGCCAGAGAAATTATTGGCGTGAGCTGTTTTGATGACCGCCCCTGTGCTAACCCCCACTTTCGTCTGGCCCGAGAGGGGGCGAGCTCAGATCAGAGGAGGCGTCTTTCGCCTCGGTTGCGCGCAGGGGCCCCTTGCGGGAAGGCCCCTCCCCGCCTTCTTGTACCCCCCCCGTGCCTTTGAAGAGGCCTTCTCGTTTCCCCAGGCGTGCTTGCATCGGGGCACTCCTGCGGGGAGAACCTGAAAGTGCAAGCCGTGAGTTTCCCGTTCTCGCCCTGGTGCCCTGTGGGTGGTACCCTACGGCTGTTGCCTGCTGATGCTTTCGCATTTTGCGGTGCTCTCGTTCTTGCCCTGGTGCGGCATAGGTGGTGCTCCATGGATGGGCTGTATGGTGATGACTGTGAATGTACTGAACGTGGCGCTTGTTCGTTTCTGCCGAGGTGCCCCGTGGGTGGCGCTCTTCGGCTGGTGCTCTATGATGCTTTTCAGTGTTGGGGTTGCCCAATTCTTGCCCTGGTGCCCTGTGGGTCGTGCCTGCGCCCTTGTCCTGGCCGGCGCCCAACAACAGTGCCATTGATTGGCACGACGTTCTCGCTCTTGCCCCCTGGGTGCTCTCTATGGGTGGTGCTCTGCGGCTGGTGCCCAGCGATGCCTTCGAGGGCCACCACGCGGATCGCATCACATATGTGGTGCCATGGAAGACTGCGCCATGCCCAAGTAGCATTGGCACATCGGTGGCACCTCGTCGATGGGCATCATATGGCATCAGAGAGCGCAAGCCACAGGGCATCACTCGTCGGGGACCCACCAACCAGAGGGTGCCATCGCGCACCAACCGTCGGGCACCAACAATAGGCCCCCAGCGGGAATGGCCATATGCCACCGACTGGGAGAGGCCGACTGCCGGACGAACAGCAATCACGCGGCACCAGCCAAGGAGGGCAGAGCGGGGCCTGGGGCGTAGAGCATCGACATATGGAACCGCCGATTGCGGCACTCAGGGCCAACTCGTTACAACACAATGAAGAGCCCGGTTCGTGCAAGCACTGTTGTCGGAATCATTTCATGTAATAGCACAGCGTGCTATTGTTTGCGTTGGGATCGCATTATGGTATCATGGTGGCATTGGGTTTGCATTGACTGTGCAGATTTCTTGAGCTTCATGGCGCAATGAGCTTTGCAGGGCCTTGCACTGTTATTGCATTGCGTTCGCATTGCGGGTTGCTCTCGTTGGTGAACATGCGCATTTCGATTGTGTTACATTGCGTGCGCTTTGATGTTGCACAGTTATTGCATTGCACTTGCGTTTCTTCTGTGGCATCATACTTTTGCATTTCATCGGGATTGCAGTCGTGTTTCGTTTTCGTGTCGCCTTCATTGCATTGCGGTGCTGCCGTTGCATTGTTGACCATATCATCGGATCGTTTGGTATTGCATACCGCTATCTGATTTGACATAGTTGTCGCATCTGCATGTCATATGCACTTTTGCTGCAATGCGTTCACACTGCATTCCAATGCAATTGCATTGTGCGTATCGTGCCATTTTGTTTGCGTTGCACTGCATCGCATGGCATTGCTGCTGTATCACATGGCATTGTTGTTGCATTGCAGGTACGTTGCGTTGATTTTGCATTGGGTTGCATTTCGTTGCGTGGCATTGCTTTCTCATTCTAATGCCTTGCATTGCTTGTGCATTGCATTGTGTTGCATTACTTCTGTATTGCGTGTTGTTGCAATGCGTGGTCCTTAGCCGAGTTTGAATCTACAAGCTGTGCCATGAAATGTCTAGTTTTGGATGGCGCCGGGTTCCTTTGCGCCCTGGAAGATTTACACTGCAACGGCTATGATCACTGGAATTGTTGATGTTTCGAGCACCAGGAATGTGGAAGAGGGAATGGGAGTGGAGAAGGAGAAGGAGGACCAGGGAGGACCAGAGGAACCCATTGTGCATCAACGAGGCTGTGATACACCCGCCCGTCCCTCGTCCCCTCATTATACGTCCATACAAACCTACCCCCCTCCTTTTCAAGAAGCGTCACCTTGCGTTCAACGAGGTGTCCATCAAGACCCCCGCTTTGAAAAAGGACAGCTCCCATCAGTGCGATTGCACAAGTTGCCACTTCTGGCCAAGAGCGCCGAGGAAGTCTCAAGCGAGAGCCCCACTTTGAAACGGAGCCGCCCTCTCCCCGTGAAGTTGTACCATCTGATATATGTTCAGGTTGCTGGCACTTTGTTGTACAGAAGTCTCAAGCGAACGCCCGGCTGTTGCTTCTGTTCAAGCTCCTGGTCTTTGAAGGTGTAGAAGTCTGAATCGGAAGCCCTTGTTTGAAGGGAAACCGCTCACCATCCTCACAAGTGCTGCGAGATTTTCAGACGACTGCGCGCGGTGGTAAAGCGAGAGGCCCATGTTGAAAACCGATATTTTTATCCTTGCAGCTGCTGCATGCTGCGCAGATCCGGAAGTTCCCTCAACTTTGCAATGGTGCATCTCGTCGCCATCGAGGCCGGCGCCAAGTCGAAGGTGGCCAACGGGGACCGCTCAAAAAGCGAGGAGCGAGCGTGGATGGGCTTCGGAGGCGGGGGCGGGATCGGCGCCCCGCTCCGTTTGGCCGCAGGCGTCCGGCACATTGTGAACCCAGCCCCCCGCCCTCTGGGCCAGAATCGGGCTTCGGTTCCCAATCGAAAGATTTAAATTCCAAACGGTGTACGGACCCGAAAATGCAAGCCGCGTAGATCTCCCTCAGAAAAACCTGTCGGGCTTGCTCCCAAGACGACCCGGCAGTTTTACTGGCCAGCCCAAGAGTGGCTGATGTGCGTGGGACTTGTGCAACCTTTGTTTTAGCGGGTCCTGTCCGACGGACCTGGAAGTTGTCCTCATGCTGGCCTTTTTTTCTCCTCCCGCAGAATGCACTTTTTGCGCGGATTTGTTTTTCGGCCACCAGTGGTCTGGAACGCGAGTCAGATTAAGATTTGTCAGCGTTCGCGCCCGACCGCGGTGTCTGCCCGCTTGTGCGTGCAGTCATGCGGCTGCGTTGCATCCGCGCGGAGCAGTGCTTCGCAAAACGGAATAAATTTCCGGAGCGCTGATGTACTTTAAGAAGGGTTGTGCGCGGAGTTGGGGCGAGAGCCCCGTTTTGAACAGGAGCCGCCCAAAACTATTACGATGAATGTGCGCTCCACTCAGGCGGGGGCTCCATGTGGACCCCCCGTATCAAGCCTTGAAGCTGCTACGAATTTCTAAGGCGCATGCGTGCGGCGCTTAGGCGAGAGACCCATTTTGAAAGCCGTCCCCGTCCTCCTTTGAAACTGTTACAAACTTCTAATCGGAGGTTGATCGATTTCCCACCCTGACACGCCGATTAGCGAATTGGCCGTTTTCGGTTCGCAAGAGGGCGTCGCGGCCGTCATTGTTGTGGGTCCAGGTCTGTCGGTTTTGGTCCTAGGCCGTTTTCACTAAAGGGTGGTTTACTGAAGGAAGGTTTGTCCACCGCAGATTTAAGACGAATGTGCGCCGCGCTCAGGCGAGAACCCCATTACGAAAAGTACACGCCCTCCACTCTGAACCTGTTGCAAATTGCGGGCTCCAGGATCATAATTTGTGAGCGCGTTTCAATCGATGCGCCTTACTGGCAAATCTGGGGGTGGGACAGGGAGGAGTTAGAGGGAAAAAGGCTCAGAGGAGAGAGGTGGGAGGAAGTTGGAAAGGAGGAGAGAGGAGGAAGACGAGGAGGAGATGGAGGAGAAGGGAGAGAAGGAATGGAAGGGAGGGGGAATCTGTCAGGATCGTGCCAGGTCTACAACATGAGCGCCAGCAGCGGGGGCGCGTCGTGTTTTGACGACTGATCACGCGGGTTGGTCTGCGCCACGGACGAGCACGCCAGCCCCCCATCGGAGGCCCCTGAGGCGGCGCCTTCGCCATACCACCGAGGCCCAGCGAGAACCGACAACACGCATGCTGGAGTGGCATGGGAAATTCTTCCCACGCCGTGCCCAGAAGCACCGCTCCCCGCCGCCCCGAAAACGTCGTGGTGGCGCCCTGCCACCTGGCTCGGGGAATCTGGTCCTGATGCGCACAATTGCCGCCTCTAGGACACGGCAAGGGCAGGAGCGGAGCAGGAGGAGGAGGAGGAGGAGGAGGAGGAGGAGGAGGAGAAGGCGGAGCAGGAGGCGGAGGCAGGAAGGTGGGCAGGATTCGGGGAGGGTGGAGTATCAAAGGGATTAGGAAGAGGACAACCGTAAACCCAAGACACATCAACGATGTTGCAATTCACCCACTCTTCAATTTCTCTCTTTGCAGGTCCTTACAATAATGTAGCGAATGGCCTTCGGCCCATCCCGCCACCGTGCTTAGGTTGTGGGTATGGAGCCTATTGGATGTTCGTTGGTGGGATCTCGTGGGAGGTCTCTCGGGGGCCTCGTAGAGGCAGTTTTGAAGCCTCTTGGGGGCCGTTTTGGGGCCGAACCTCGTTTGGTCTCTTGGGGGACTCTTGGGGCCTCTTGGGGGTCTCTTGGGGGCCTTTTTGGGCCTGGCGGGCGCCTCTTGGGGCCTCCGGGGTCCTCTGGCAGAAGAAGGCTCGGATTTTCGGTTAGTGGTCCTGCTCTTGGTGCCCTCGTGGGCCGTCAAGAGCGCTTCATAGGCCGTCTTGAGGCGCTCTTAGGCCGTCTTATGGAGCCATCTTGGGGGCCTCTCGGGCCGTTTTGGGGTGGTCTTGGGGGCCTTGTGGTCCGTGTTTGAGCGTCCTTCAAACAACTCATGATAATCAATGATTCTTACCTCTTGAGAGGCCTGTTGGGGGCCTCTTGTGGCGTCTCGGAGGCCTCTTCGGCCATCCTGGGCGTCTTGGAGCGATCTTGGGGCGACTTGTTGCTCTCTTTAACTGAGTTGGGGGCCTCTTGGAGCCATCTGGGCTCGTTTTGGGCCCCTCCCTAGGCGGGGTAGGCCGACGCGAGCGATTCTGGCAGACCCCGGGCTGGCCCAGCAGGTCTCGGGCCGGCACGGGAAACGATTGGTCTGGGCCCGTACAACATACAATTCTGGCTGCAGCAGCAGCACGGCCCTCTCAGTGCTGCATGAGCCTTGGGGCACTCCACTTCGTGCCAGAAGCACGGTGGCGGAGTGTCACTGCGGGAAGTGCTCCATTGGAAGTCAACTGTCTACGAATTTTCAACAGTGCCAAAGCACCATTTCTGGGATTTCAACGCCGCGGATCAACGTGATTGTTGCGTCCATTTCCGAGAATACCATTTCTGGGACTTCAGCTCTACGGGCCAATAATCCTGCTGCGTCCTGACATTCTGAAGCCGTGCCAGACGTTTTTTTCTGTGCCAGAAACAGTGCCATACGAATTCTTTAATCGGTTGCAAATTTTGACGCGACTGGGTGGTGCTACGGCGACAGCCGCATTTTGAAAAGGAACCTCCCTCCGTGTCTGAAATGGTTGTGCACTTTTGAGACGCAAGTGTGCGGCGCTAAGGCGGTAGCCACATTTTTTAAACGACCCGCCCTCCATCCTTGATATGATTGCAAGTTTTTATGGCGAGTGTGCGCGGCGCTGTCGAGAGCCACATTTTGAAAACGACCCGCCTTCACCAGTGAACTTGTTTTACATTCAAGCTTCAGGTTCATCAGTGGTGAGGAAGTCTTAGGCGAACCGCCTGACCCGCCCTACTGACGCGTTTGGGGTGCGGCAGGGATGAGATATCTATAAGGAGCGGGTGGAGGAGGAGGGGGGAGGGAAGAAGAGCAGGAAAGCGAGAAAGATGAGGAGGAGGGAGGAGGAGGAGGAGGAGGAGGAGGAGGAGGAGGAGGAGGACAAAGAGCAACAGCCTCGTGCCCCCCCCCCCCTCGCCCTCGCACGACACTGGACCGCCCCGCCGCACTAGCCCGGGACCGAGGCACCTCCTCTCCACCCTCGGGGCGCTCCTCGCGACCACGGCGGGGCAGCTGGCCACGCAGGCGACCCCCTTCCCGCTGGCGACGACTCAAAGGAGGCAAAGGTACCGATACCGCCACCCTTCCATCGTTTTTGCACTTTGCGGCCTCCTGGGAGGCCCTCGTCGCCACGGCTGGATTCACTTTGAAATTCTAGCCAGAGCGCATCCATCGAGAGGTACTGGAAGTAGCGGTATCGGTATCCCCTTGTTTCCCAAACGACGGCGGCGACAGTGGCGACGACGGCTGCAAGCGGCGGCGGCGGCGGCGGCGATGGGACGACGACGGCCGAGCGAACGACGACGATGTCTACAAAGACGGCGTCCACGACGACGTCCACGACGACGCCTTCGGCGACGGCGGCGGCGACCGACGGCCGACGATGGCACCGCCAGCAGCGCCGACGACCCGACGGCGCCAAGCGTCGGCGGCGGCGTCGGCGGCAAATTTGGCGGCCAGACCCCCGCTGTGCGCGCCCGCCCCGCCAGGATGCCGCGTCGTCGAGGTCCCTCCCGGCCGGGGGCCCAGCCAGGGTCGTCCCGCGCGCCCTTCGGCGGATACCCGTCAGAGTGACCCTTCCCTTCACCTGAGTGGCCTGTGGTGCAGGCACACGGGGGCCCCCTGATCTCAGAACGCGGGACGATCGCATGGGTTTCTGAGCCGTCGTCGTCATCGTCATCGTCGTCGTCGTCGTCGTCGTCGTGATCGTCGTCGTGATGGTCGTGGTCCTGGTCGTCGTCGACGTCGTGTTCATCGTCGCGATGGTCGTCGCCGCTGTCGTGGCCGTCGGCGCTGGGGAAACAAAAAAGATCCCGATACTGCTATCCCCCAGATCTCTCCTGGAGTGCGTTCTGACCAGAGCTTCCAGGCGAATCCAGCCGTGGCGACGAGGGCCTGCCAGGAGGCTCAACAAAGCGCAAACGAGTCAAGCGTGCGATATCGGTACCTTTCCCTTCTCTGAGTCGTGATCGTCGTCGTAGTCGTCGACATCGTGGTCGCAGTCGTGGTCGTCGCCGTCGCCGCCGTCGTGCGCACCAAAGAGGTCACTCCTGCGTGTAGCCGACGTCGACGCGCCCCGCGCTTCCGCGGAGGGCCCGCGCGGCGGCCCCATCGCCGTCGTCGTCGTCGTCGTCGCCGCTGTCGTCGCCGTCGTCGTCGTTGTCGTCGAAGTCGTCGTCGCCGTCGTCGTCGTCGTCGTCGTCGTCGTCGTCGTGTTCGGCGGTCGGCGGTCGGTGGTCGCCGCCGTCGCCGTCGCCGCCGGCGCCGCGCGACGACGACGACGGAGAGGCGCTCGGCTCGCCACACCGCTGTGCGTGCCTGCCTGGACCCCACCGACGGACTCTTATGCTCAATGGTGAGATGCAGATTTTCATGGCGAGATCGCAGAGTTTAAAGTTGTAATAAACGTTACGTAGAAGTGCACTAGGGAGGTAAAAGCACTACGTAAACGCACCACGTAACAAAACCCGACGTACGAACTCCTCAGAGTGCTCGCGGCGCACCGGCGGCGTTCCCGGCGGCACTCCCCAGGATGTTCCAGCGGGATGTTTTTCTTGCGTTGTGTTTTCGGCAACATGTTTACGAGTAGCGCGTAGTATTTTCGAGTAGCGTGCCGACGCAGGGCGCTCCAGCGGCCCGCTCCCTGCGGACTCGGGCGACACTCGCGAGAGACGCGGGCGACCGTAGTTTTTGCGCGTGGCTTTCTCTTGTCTGCGTCGTGTCTTTACATCGTGTTTTCGAGTAGCGTGCCGACGCAAGGGCGCTCCTGCGGCGCTCCAGCGGCCCGTTCCCTGCGGACTCGGGCGTCACTCGCGAGGGACGCGGGCGACCGTAGTGTTCGTACGTGGCTTTTCCTGTTCTGCGTCCGTCATGCTTGTAAGTCGTGTTATCGAGTAGCGTGCCGACGAAGGGCGCTTCTGCGGCGCTCCAGCGGACTGCTCCCTCAGGACCCTGGCGACGCTGGCGAGAGACGCAGGCGACCGTAGCGTTTGCGCGTGGCTTTTCCTGTCTGCGGAGTGTCTTTACCATGTGTTTTCGAGTAGCGCGCCGACGCAGGGCGCTCCTGCGGAGCTCCAGCGGACCGCTCCGGCGCTCCTGCGGAGCTCCAGCGGACCGCTCCTTGCGGACTCGGGTGACGCTGACGAGAGACGCGAACGACCGTAGTGTTTGGGCGTGGGTTTTCCTTGTCTATTTAATGTTTTCCACGTAATGTTTACGAGTAGCGTGCCAACACTGGGCGTTCCCGCGGCGCTCCAGCGGCGCGCTTATTGTGGACTCGGGCGACGCTCGCGAGAGACGCGGGCGACCTCAGCGTTCGCGCGGGGTCTGCTCTTTTCTGCGTCGTGGTTTCAGATAGTGTTTACGAGTAGCGCGCCGGCGCAGGGAGCTCCTGCGGCGCTCCAGCGGCCCGCTCCCTGCGGACTCGGGCGACGCTAACGAGATACGCGGGCGACCGCATTGCGTACGCGTGTTTTTTTCCGTTTCTGCATAAGCGTTTTCCACGCTGTGTTTTCGAGTAGCGTGCCGACGCAAGGGCGCTCCTGCGGCCCTCCAGCGGCCCGCTCTCTGCGGACGACCAAGAACAAGGATTCCAATTTCCTTTTCCGCGTATCGGCACCAGCCCATTCAGAAGCGATGCTCAGGCGAGTTTCCCAGATCAGGGACGTGGAGCAGCGCGCGATATTTTCACGATGCGGAGGTGCCTGTACGCTGCATACATGTCGTCTATGCTCTTCGGCGGAACTAGGATGATAGGTGGAGGGGGAGTAGGAATATGGACACCTACGATTATGGAAGGGTGGATGATGTTGTGGAGGAGGAGGAGGAGGAGAAGGAGGAGGAGGAGGAGGGATAGGGAGAGGAGGAGAATAATGACTAAGAGATCGCGTGTCTCCTTCTTCGCGTTCCTCGGGGTTGCCTTGGTTCCCTAGGTCCCTTTGGTCCTGCTTTCTTATTGTTCTGGGAAGCCAGCATTCCTCGTGCTCTCCGGCTTTTGAATCAACGCCGAGCAATGCCTAGCAACGCACACGAAGACCAAACAGCACAGCGTAATGCGCAGCAGTGCCAAACAATGCAAGGCAACGCAAAGCAATGCAAGCGATGCCGAGCACTACGCAAAAAAAACACTACGCAAACATACTACGCAACAGCACTACGCCAAAACACGACGCACACCACACTACGCAAAAACACGCCGCAGATGCTTTCGCCCTGAGGCGCACCTCTCCCACCGACGGCCCGCCCTGACAGCGAGGCGCTCGTTAATGGCCCCTCGCGCTATCTCCAGGCTTAGGCAGTGGTCCGAGGCGGGGAATTTTCCAGAAGCCTCGCCTGGAGGATCGATCTTCGGGGACCTCGGCAGGTGGTAGATATGGATGCGTAGCACCTCGCAAGTGCGGATAAGAATGAGGGGGCGGGCGCGAGGTGGGTCGCGGGTGGGTCGCCGGTGGGTCGCGGGACGGGTCCCGGCGGAACGACGACAAACAAACACCGACAACAAGCAATCACAACCGGCAGCAAACAAGCAGAATCTTGGCCACGGAGTCCCACTTCACCCGCGCACTCGGAGATGGTGCAAGGCCCTTCGGGCCCCCTTGGGGCCAGCATATATCCATACCCTTCGGACCCCTCTGGGGCCAGCATATCAGAGTGAGGGTGCCGAACGGTCATTCATTCTCCCTGGGTGCGTGGCTGAAGTGGGACTACGTGGTGAGGATTCTGGTTGTTGCGTTGTTGCGTTGTTGTTTGATTGTTGTCGTAGTCCCACCCCGCGACCAACCCGCGACCCACCCCGCAACCCACCCCGCGACCCACCCCGCGACCCACCCCGCGACCCACCCCGCGACACACCCCGCGACCCACCCCGCGACCCACCCCGCGACCCAGGCCGCGACCCACCCCGCGACCCACCCCGCGACCCACCCGCGACCCAGCCCGCGACCCACCCGCGACCCACCCGCGACCCACCCCGCGACCCACCCACGACCCACCCGGCGACCCACTCGCGACCCACCCCGCGACCCACTCAGTCAGAGTGAGGGGGCCGAAAGGTCATTCGCTGTCCCTGGTTGCGTGGCTGAAGTGGGGATCCACGGCGAGGATTCTGCTTGTTTTTTTGCGTCGTCCCCCCCGCGACCCAGCCCGCGACCCACCCGCGACCCAGCCCGCGACCCACCCGCGACCCGCCCCGCGACCTCCCCGTGACCCCCCCGCGACCCACCCGCGACCCGGTCGCGACCTGCCTGCGACCCACGCGCGACCCACCCGCGACCCACCCGCGACCTACCCGCGACCCACCCCGCGACCAACCGTCGACTCACCCGCGACCCACTTGTGACCCAACCCGCGACCCACCCACATTGTTCTTAACTAAAGATCGGAGCCTACGGCGGGCTCGCTGTATCTTGAAAATTCTGCGCCTGCGGCGGGCTTCTGTAGAGCCTCGCAGACTGCCGACGTCCCCGCTGCCTCCTCACTCTTATCCGCAACTGCGGGGTGCTGCGTATCCACACCCACCGCCTGCTAGGGTCCAAGGGCGCCGGTTCCCCAGGCGGTGGATGTGGATGAATCTCGGCCTCGAACATGGATCCCCGATGCCGGGCGTTGGGCGACGCCGGGCGCGTGCGGCCGCTGGCCCGCCCTCCTCGCCCTCCCCGCTCGGCGACGCTCGCGCTCGCACGGCGGGGCACCGCTCCTAGCCGGGCGGCCGCCGGCCCGGGGAGCCTGACGCGTGAGGCTCGGCCATGCGGAGGGGCCCTCCGCAGGAGTGACCTCCTGGTGCGGGCCCACGGGGGATCCCCCCGGTCGGTGAACGCGATGCGATGGCAGCGGCTTGCGCGTTCGGGTTTGGCCCCTCCGAGGCCTTGGCAACAAGTGCGCAGATGAGGAAGCTAAAGCGCGAGCCTAAGATCGACGGCTTCCCCTCGGCTTTCAGCGCCTCGCTGCACAGCATCAGAACATAGTGCGTGGGTTATGCGTGTGGATTGCACAAGTTGGAGTGGTAGTATCCGACTCGGACTGCATGCATCGTGCGAAGCGGTCGCGTGATGAAGCCCCTCCCTCTGTTAAACTTGCCAAGCCCCAGCCGCCTTCCCTAGCTGAGAGAGTGGCCAGTGCTCAGTTACCCCTCCAGCCCAGGGTTTGAAATATCACCAGTTGTTTTCTTTTTCGGTCCCGACCCGGCCGAATCGCACTGGTCAAGCCGTGTCCCCCGCTGATCCCGAAGTGGGCCCAAACTGTCTATGTTGTCGCCGATCTTAGGCGATGGCCACCTCCAGTTCTCGCTGCAGCTGCAGTGTTGCCTGCGGATGCCGACACCCCCTTGCCTGCGAACGAGCCTACTCCCACCATGGCCTATCTTGATGCTCAGGCCAGCGGTGCCTGTGAGCAGCTGGATGCCGCCCGTCGCCGTCTTCGCGGGGAGGAGGGTGAAGCGGGGTATCGACGGGACTGGGACAGTTCTGATAGCTCGAACTGACTGCTCGGTGCGAGTTGCTGCCTCCTTTTTCGTTTCTGTCTTATTGATTTTCTGCGGCGGAGGGTGAAACAAATCTCCAACGCATCCTAGTACCCTTTTTTGTGTTTCAGGGCTCCTGGGTGGCAGAAGTGGCAGAAGGTGAAACAGACCTCGAGCGCCACCCCAAAGAGCAGCCACAAACGCTTGGTAGGAGTGTGGATGTTGGCTGTGATTTTGCGCATTCTCGTTTCTGTCCTTTTGGGGGCTAGAGCTGCCTCCTCTGGCGTCTTCGGGGCCCAAGCTGCCCGCGCTAGGTCTTGTCCTGGCTCCGTTCGGTCGCACTCGCGGCGGGGGTCTGCGTCTGCCGCCGCGTTGTGGGTGGCCGAACGCGATGCGTTATTTCAGGGCCTGGTGCTCGGTGCACAAGCAGTTTTGTGTGATGCCTTGTGGCATCAGTCCGCCCGCCGTGTACCTGTCTGTGCCCAGGAGGAGGAGGAGGTGAAGGAGGAGGAGGAGGTGGAAGATTTGAACGGCGACGGAGGAGGAGGAGGAGGAGGAGGAGGAGGAGGAGAAGGACAAGCTAGGTGCGCTCGTTATATCTGACGTCCTACCCCTCCCTCCCATCTCTCTTACCATGGCGCAGATATCCTCCCTATTCGCACAATCGGATGTCGTAGCATGGCATAGTATTATATGGCATAGTATGGTGTTGAAGATTAACGCGTAGCATACCATAGCATGGCGTGGCGACGCCCCAAAATGAGGGGGGCAGATTCCTGCGGCCCAACAAATCAAGACATCGATACCGAATGTGTAATCACTTCCGATGGTTTCTTCGGGAAGCCATCTTTTACATATTCGGGCCGATCTGGAAGGACCGAAAACCATGCCGTGGCATGGCGCTGGAAAATGACGCCAGCGCTGCAGCGGGAGCACGATTCGGAACGAACGGAAGCGCGGACATGATGCCAGCGCTGCCGCGGGAGCACGATTCGGAACGAGCGGTAGCCCGAAAATGAGGCCAGCGCTTCAGCGAGAGCAGCATTTTGAAAAAAACAAGCGCGGAAGCGCGGAAATGAGGACGCGTAGCCTGACATTGCATGGCGTGGCGACGCCCCAAAGTGGGGGGGGCTTCTGCGGCGGAAAAAATCAACGAATCGGCACCGAATGTGTTATCACTTCCGATAAGGGGTATTTGTTAAACTTTAAGGCCATTTGGGAGGATCGAAAACCATGCCGTGGCAAGACGCTGGAAGTAATGACGCCAGCGCTGCAGCGGGAGCACGATTCGGAACGAGAGGAAGTGCGGAAGTGATGCCAGCGCTGCAGCGGTAGCACGATTCGGAATGAGCGGTAGCCTGATAGTGAGGCCAGCGCATCAGCGCGAGCAGCATTTTGAAACAACAACCAAGCGCGGAAGCGCGGAAATGAGGACGCATAGCCTGACATAGCATGGCGTGGCGACGCCCAGAAGTGGGGGGGGGGCTTCGGCTGCGCAAAAAATCAACGAGTCGACACCGAATGTGCAATCACTTCCGACTGTTTTTTTCGGGGGGGGCATTTTCTAGATTTGGGGGCCATTTGGAAGGATCGAAAACCATGCAGTGGCATGGCGCTGCAAATAATGACGCCAGCGCTGCAGCGGGAGCACGATTCGGAACGACCGGAAGCGCGGACATGATGCCAGCGATGCAGCGGGAGCACGATTCGGAACGAGCGGTAGCCCGAAAATGAGACCAGCGCATCAGCGAGAGCAGCATTTTGACAAAAAACCAGCGGAAACCCGTTTCCCGGGAATCCTGTGTAAAATACTAATACGCAGAGGGGGGCCAGCCTTTTCCCGGACGTCACCAGGAGAGAGAGAGGATAGTAGTATTCATATTGTTTAATTGCGGAGGAGGAGGAGAAGGAGGAGGATTGCAGCGTAGTGTTGATGCCCTGAAGGGTAGGCATAACCCTTTTGAATCGGATGAGGCACTTGGGCTCTCCCACCCTCGCAAAAGGTGCTCGATGCTGTCACCTGGTAATGGTGAGTGATATGCGTGAAGCGCATATCCTGTGGCAGCCACCTCTGCCTCGTAGCACCGTGACCTGGCGGGTTAACGCATGTGGGTCAGACGTCCCATCATGAGGGGACGACGAATGATGGACCCAAGCATGATGTGTATGTGTAAATGTGAGCCCCATGTTGTGTCAACATGGTGCCGACAGAATGCACCAAACCGAATTCAAGCACCAATGTGCGTTCCCATGGGGGGCACGGTTTGTCCACCCCTGGGGGGTGCAAACATAGCTCGGTCTTCAAGTGACCGGAAAACGTTTCCCGCATTTCGGTCCTCATGAGATGCCGGCCGAGCTTGTGCGGAAGAAGTCCGAGGCATAGGTGGCCGCCTCACAAAGGTGGCACCGGCGGGTCGGTGTTGAGGAGCCCTGTGGCAACCTGAACGGTCGCCTCCTGGGTCCCTGGATGGGGGCCTAGGATAGTGGATGTACCCAGTTATGACCCCGTCCGAGTCCAGGGCAGCCCCACTCCTGAGGTCTAACGGCCACGCGGTCAAGGAGGAGGAGGAGGAGGAGGAGGAGGAGGAGGAGGAGGAGGAGGAGGAGGAGAGGGTAGGAAGAGGAGGGGGAGGGGGAGGAGGAGAGGAGGAGGAGGAGGAGGAGGAGGAGGAGGAGGAGGAGGAGGAGGAGGAGGAGGAGTAGGAGGAGGAGGAAGAGGAGGAGGAGGAGGAGGAGGAGGAGGAGGAGGAGGAGGAGGAAGAGGACCAGGAGACGGAGAAGGATGGAGAGGGAGGAGTGGAGGAGGGAGGATGGTGAGGGGGCATGAGGAGGCGGGCCGCTCTTGGCCTACCTAGGCCATCGGGAAGTCGCTGCAGCGGCTGTGGTTCGAGACGCCGTGCGGGGTCGGCCGCGACACCAAAGAGGAGGCCGTTTGGCTCTGCCGCCTGATGGCCGTGCTGGAGGCCGCCGGGCCTGCCACGAAGAAGGACGGTCAGGAACTTCGGCTTAGAGTGTCGCGGCGCCGGTTCTGGCTCACCGGGCTTCGGCGCGGCACATTGTCCACGTTCCGGTCCCCAGGCGTCAACGTCCCGGGCTTATCGAAGCCTCCCGCCCCGCGGAGCGGAGCGACACGCTATCCGCTTGCAAGGCATATCGTGTCGCCGGGGCCGCCGCCGCGACACGCCATGCAAGAATCTCTGACCGTATCCGTCGTCGTCGCGCCTACCCCAAAGCACTATGCTGAGACAGTGCTTTTGGGTACCTGTCTCAGCCTGGGCGGTACAGCGCTGCATAGTGCAGCATCGGCCTCCACCCCTCTCGAAAGGGGTTGTAGATCTGATTTGCGGTCCTCTCTCAATCGGCGAGTGATGCGGACGGCACGCGCGCGCACGAGCTAACAGACTGGGCGGCTTGGCCTGTGGGGCACAGTCGAATCCGATGGGTGTTCCAAACTGTAAACCGTGGTCGTAATGGTTTTCATCGTCGTCGTGATCGTCGTCTGCCGTCGTCGTTGTCGTCGCCGTTGTCCCGAGGTGAGCCCCAGTATAATTAAGGGCCCACATCGGGGCCCAACCCTTTGCACCTATGCTGCGGCGTGCAGCGCATGGTCATGCACTGCTCTCTCGCCGTATCGGGGGCAGTGTCGGGGGCCTCTTGGGCCGTCTTGAGGCCATCAGGGACTGGTTGGAGCCATCTCTGGCCATCCTTGGGCCATCTTGGCCGTCTTGGAAGCGTCCTGGGACCGTCTTTGAGGCCAGCTTGGCCGTCTGGAGGGCCTTTCGGAGCCTTTGGGCGGGACGGGCAGCGGGATGTTGCTTTTCCTGTGCTCCATGTGACTGGCGGGGGTGGGTCGGAGGCCATTGGGAAATTTCTGGAGGGCCCCAAACACGTATTCAAAAGTCTGGCACGCCAAGCACCCCGCCTTTCCAAAAGGTTTCAGTTCTCTCTGGTCCAAACCGTTGGCCACCAGGAAACCACCCCAAACCATAAGAAACCACCGAAACCACTCCAAAGTCGAGAACATGTGTCTCCAAGTTCGCCTAGATAACCCAAGATGGCCACAAAGATGGTCCCCAGACGCCCTCAAGACGGACAATATTGCCCTAAGAGGGCCAAAGATGGCCTCAGATACGTTGAAGACGGCCCAATAGTTATGGCCTCAGGACAGCCCCAAGTGACCTCAAGGCAGCCCAAGAAGCCCCCAAGACGCCAAACTAGAGTGCCAAGAGGCCCTCCAGGAGGGCCCGAAAGGGGCCACACGCATTGATTTCCTTACGCCTTTTCATGGCTTTGGAATTCTCGCCCCTTCGGTCTTCCAACCGGCCAAGACGGCCCCAGATGTCTCCAAGAGGCCCATCATGCCACCGTGCCAGGGTTGTGAGCCAGAGTCCTCTCGGATGCCTCTTGGGGCTGGCGGCGCGGTGCTGGCGTCCGCGGCCACCGTGGTGGCATCGGCGGATGGCGGACACCCCCTCCCTCCCTTTCCCTCCCCCTCGCGCGGGCGGCGGCGGCGGCGGTCTGGTCGGCGCCCCCTCTTCCTTCAGTGGCGGTGGGTGGTCTTCGGGCTAAGGCTCTGCAAGGGCGCTGGGCGGCAGGGTTGCACTGCCACGGCGGCCTCAGAGCTGGCTGACAGCGCACGCCCCGGCCAAAGGCCGGGCAGCAAGCGGCAAAGCCAAAGGACGCCTACCCTGCCGAATTGTTCATCTTCTCATGCCTCTCGGGATCTACTGGGAGCTTCCTGGAGTCTCCTTGGGGGCCTCCTTGGCGCCCTTTGGGGGCATCTTGCTTGTCTGGGGGGCCATCCTCGCACTCGAGGGATCCTGGGGCCAGTTCGTGCTCCTGCCTCACATTGCAACGCTGGCAATGGATAACACGTCTGGCAAAGTCACGCGACAAGCCCCAGGAACGCCAAGAAGTGCCCCGAAGTCTGCGCCCTGGGCCTTCCACTCATGGCTGGTGGTACGGTGGCTGATATGTACATACGTACATACGTCATACGTACGTACGTGCGTATTCATGTCTGTCTGTCTGCCTGCCTGCCTGCCTGTCTGTCTGTTCGTCTGCCTGCCTGCCTGCCTGCCTGTCTGTCTGTCTGTTTGTCTGTCTGTCTGTCTGTATGTGTGCCTGATGGACAGAGAGAGAGAAACAACAACAAAGAGAGAGAGAGGGAGGGAGAGAGAGAGAGAGAGAGAGAGTCGGATTAGGTTACCTGCCCTCCAGCCGTTCTGGGCAGCTGATTTAGCCTGCTCGCTGGTCCGTCCTCTGCAGCAGTCGCCATCCTCTCGGGGCCCAGCCTCTGGGCCGAACTTCGACGCGCGGTGGTTCCCGCGACTGCCTTGCCCCACCTCTCAAGATTGTCGTCGACCTCCTCCAGAGCTTCCTGCGTTTTCTTCTTCTTCGTCGTCGTCGCCGTGGTGCTCCTCCACCTCCTCCTCCTGCTTCTGCTCCCCCTCATCCTGGCGCTCCGCTGGTCATGTCGCCGCCTTCGCCTCTCTCGGCCCTTGGCCTCCCTGCCGCCCCCCCCCCCCCCCTTCGAGAGGGCCCCCTCGAGAAGGCACGGTGTAGCACATCGGCCCTCTGGGGGCGCCCCCATTGGCTGCGTGGCCGTGCGGGGGGTCACGGTCCCCCCTACGGGCGGCGCGGCTCAGTCCGAGAGCGGGGGTCGCCTGCAATAGTGGCGGCCACACGAGCTCCGCCTCTCGTAGTTCACGCGCGGCACGGTTTCAAGACCTCGCGATGGCTCAGATAAGACACCTGAACTCCACGAGCCCGCTCCCGACCGATCCCGATCTCCCCTCATCCTCGTCGTCGTTGTCCTGCTGCTCCTCGTCGTTGTCGTGCGCTGTTTTCTGCGCATCCTGCTCCTTCTGCTCCTGCTGCTGCTGCTGCTGCTGCTGCTGCTGCTGCTGCTCCTCTTCCTTTGCCTCTCCTCAGGATCGATCCCCCGACCTCTCCTGGGAAGCCCTCTGGTCGATGTCGACGGGGATCCCGATGTGGCGAAGAGGCCCTCCAGGGGCCCACAAGTGGAGGAGGAGGAGGAGGAGGAGGAGGAGGAGGAGGAGGAGGAATAGGAGGATGGACAGCAGGAGGGGGGCAAGACCTCCAGAAACAATTCGAAAATCCTGCCCCCACGAGCATCGAGGACAGCGCCTAGACGGCGCACCGTCAAGCATCACATCGAGAAACGATGGCCCAGAAACATGTGGAACACGAGTGCTGCATGCAGGCGCGCTGGGATACAGCCCCTGTGCGCAGCCCAGTGCCGGGCGGCGGGCACCACCACGCTCGCGAAGCGGGCCTCGAGGGCCGACGGCAGAACTTCGCAGCAGGAGCTGGGCGGGTTGTGCGGGCGACGGCCCCTCGTGGCGGCGGCGGGTGGCGGCGGGTGGCGGCGACGGGCGGTGGGGACTCTGCCGGGCAGCGGTGCCGGCCGTTGGCCAGGCGCAGGCTCGGGCTGGAGAGCGAGGCGGCCGGGCGGCGGCGGCGCGGGCGGTGGCAGGCGCGCGGCCAGTGGCGTGGGCGCGACGGGCCCCGCCCCTCCGGCCCGCAGGGCTCGCGCGCGGGCATCCTGTCCTTCTACGGCGCCGGGCTCCTGGTCGGCGGTCCCAGCTGGCGCGCGGAGCGCGCCGTCGGCCCGTGGCAGTGGCGAAGCGTCCGTTGGCCTGCCTGGAGGCGCCCACAGGAGCCTGCTGGGTCTGGCCGAGGCCGTCCTGTTTTCATGCGTCGGTTTTGCGTGACAGTCAGCCCGCATGGGAAAGATGAACAACTTCTCAAGGTCACCGGTGCATCCCTTCCCCTTCGGCCCATCCCTGGCCGCTGTCGCTGGCCAGCCCCACTCGGAAAACGCCAACATGGTTTTCCACGGCCATTGCATCCTTACCGCGCATCCTTATTATACGGGTTGACGATTGCACGAGGTGTCAGGGCACTTCTGGCTGAGGCCGTCCTGTTTTAATGCGCCGGTTTGGTGCTATGAGTATAAGAACGTTGCGAGTGTGATCAGAGCGTTCTTCTCGTTCCGGGAACATGTGGTGGGAGGCCTGCAGGAGTGCCAGGGCGGTTGGTCCATGCTCATTCGAGGTGGCAGGGCCCGCGGCCGGGCCCTGGTGGGGTAGCAGGCCCCAGGCAACCAGGAGGGGGGGCATGGAGGATGAGGATGAGCAGGAGGAGGATGAGCAGGAGGAGGAGGAGGAGGAGGAGGGGGAGGAGGAGGAGGAGGAGGAGGAGGAGGAGGAGGAGGAGGTGAAGGAGGAGGAGGAGGAGGAGGAGGAGGAGGAGTAGGAGGAGGAGGAGGAGGAGGAGGAGGATGGGGAGGGAGCTGGGCGTGGGGGAGCTGGACATGTCCTTCTTCGCGGCCTCGGCGAAGTTCAGAGGGTCGTTTTGACCCTTCGGCTGTGTCAGGCAGGGGAGGCGGAGGGAGGCTCGGGTGGAGCAGGAGGAACAGGAGGGTGAGGGAGGCTGCCCTGCAGGCAGTCCCTCTCTAGCGGCTCCACTGCCAGAGGAGTGGTGGGCTCACCCCCTCATTCCACAGGGGGGGGTGGTAGTGAGGGGGGCGGGATGAGGAGTGGGGGGCGGGGGGGGCGGAGTCGGGATCGGTAATGCTTATGTGCATGGGGATACCTATGGGGATGATGATCATGGTGGTATTGATGATGGCGACGGTGATGCTGGGGGTGGTGTTGATGATGCCTCGCCGCCCAAGCTCATGCAATCGGTTGACGACTGGGTGCAGACCTCCGACCTCAACTGCATAGTGCGCGTTGCTTGCCCACACTGCGCACGCTCAGGCACCGCCCAGCGCTGGATGCAGGCACCTCGATGCTCAGCCCTGAAGGCGTACTGCGCTCAACCAGGCGCGCGGCGCAGCATGTGTCTGCCGGGCCCAGCAGCAGTCAGCAGCTGCGTTGCAGGCGGTGCAGCCACGGCCAACGAGACGCTGCAACTCAAGGTCAAGACCTCTCCGCGGCTTGCGGAGATGCTGGTCCTGAACGACCAGTTCGCGAGGCTGAGGGCGGCCACCCACGATGTCACCGACCTCAACGGGGACGCAGGCAGCAACGCCTGGGACGAGGCGTCAACAAGCGAGGCCCTCGACGGAGGGGTGGCCGACGCCCTCGTTGAAGAGTATAGCAATGCCCTTGACGAAGGGTTGGCCGACGCCGTTGTCCCTGATGCTGAGCCCAGCAAGGCCCTCGGAAGAGAGTTGGTCGAAGTCCTTCTCATCGGTGCGAGGCGTCCCCGAATACGTCCCCCAGGGCCAGGACCAGAATCGGACTCCAAAACCAGAGGTCCAGAACTACCGAAAGAAAAGAGCAAGTGACCTCTCCTCACACCCCGCTCCGTTCTCGGCGGCGGCCTTCCGACGAGAGGCGGCGAGGACAGGAGGAGAGAAAGAAGCTAGCGCGGGGGCCCTGGCATGCTGCTGCACCCTCCTCACCTGCTACAGCTGACTGCAACCCCCAGTCCTGCACCGTCTCTGACAGAGCAACCCTGCGCTGCACATTAAAGTAGAAGGGGCCCTCCGGGAAAACCAGGGGGTCCCCTTGACGCATCCCCGAATGCGCCCCTGGCACATTCTGTGGCGCGTGCGTGAGCCTGAGCCCTGGGTCGTGTCGTCCCTGTGGGGAGCGGAATCGGATTTTGAGCTTGAGTTGAATGAGCATCCCGCACGTTTTGACTTCAACGAGCTCTGTGCTCAGGCAGCTCGAGGTTAAGATCCAGATCAGTTCGGCAAGGACTCGGATGCTAAGGAGGACTCGATCCACATTGCTATAGTGCACAAGCGTGGCATGGTGAAATGCAATGTATCGCGACACAGCACAGCAAAGTGCTTGGCACGGTACATCAATATAGACACGTTCAGCATTGCGATTGCACGTCGCCCAATCAGGTGTCTTGAAACCGGTGCCATGCCTCACGGTTCTATATTCTTGTCCTGGGTCGTTGGTCGATCATGGTTTTTAGATTATCGTTCCTGGTTTGATGCCTTGTGCGATATATATATATATATATATATATATATATATATATATCGAGAGAGAGAGAGAGAGAGAGAAACAAAAAAAAAAGCGTGTGTTTTTGTGGCCGGCCGAGGTCTGCGACTGCCTCGGGGCCTTTGCCGCTGCCGCCGTGGGCGAGCCCGGGAAGCCAGACGGCGCGGGGCTGGACGAGGCGCCCGTCCCCGCGCTCCTCCTCCTCCTCCTCCTCCTCCGCCTCCTCCTCCTCCTCCTCCTCCTCCTCCTCGTCCCCCTCCTCTCCTCCCCTCCTCCTCCTCCTCCCTCCTCCTCCCAAGCCTCTCCTCCTCCTCCTTCTCCTCCTCCTCCTCCTCCTCCCCCAAGCCTCCTCCTTCTCCTCCGCCTCTCATCCTCCTCCTCGTCGTCGTCCTCCTCCTCCTCCTCCCTCCTCCTCCTCCTCCTCCTCCTCCTCCTCATCCTCCCCCTCCTCCTCCTCCTCCTCTCCTCCTCCTCCTCCTCCTCCTCCTCCTCCTCCTCCTCTTATTCTTCCGTAGCCATGTTTGCTCAAGCCGTTCTGGCTCAAGAGCATCGTGGCTCGGGGTGTCCCCACCACACAGGGATACCGCTAGTCCGCGGCAGTCAGAGAGTTTGCTTTCGGCACCGTTGTAGTGAGCTCCTGCAGGAGCTGCAGTCATGGACAGGTCGCATGGCAGCGGCGGCTACACGGTGTGCGGCGCCTGCGGGCACTGGGACTATAACAACCGTTTCTGCAAACAGAATGGCTACTCCAGGTGCGGCAGTTGGGTCGGCTTGCCTGGCCGCATGCAGCAGCAGCCGTCGCCCGCGCCGCCATGGTGATCGTCGCAGGAGCAGGTGGTTTCGAGCATCCAAAAGCTGGTCGGCAATGACAGCGCGCTGGGCCAAGCCGAGGAGGCGGCGCTCCAGCAGCGCTTCGCCAGCCGCCCTCCCCTGCCGACGTCTGTTGCCAAGGCTCCGCTGCTGGTGGCAGCAGAGCGGCTCAAGGCGGCCTAGGAGCAGGTTGGCAAGAAGGTCGAGCGCTGCTGCTGGGAGCTAGCGGCGGCGAAGCACAAGGTCCAGGAGGTGCAGGCGCGCCTCGACACCCTCACGGAGAAGCATCTCCAGGCGACGATGGAGCACGAGGCGGCGGTCGCGGCTGTTGCGAGCAAGGATGGCTCTTCCACGCACGCACTGCCCGAGCGCCTCGCCTTCAACTTGGACCCGTCCCTCTTCGCCGACATGGACGACGCCGACGAGGACTACGTGGGTGCTGTGGAGGCGCTCCAGTCAGCCAGGCGCCTGTGGCTGGAGGAGCAGGCGAAGGCCTACAACACAGTCGCAGAGCGTGCCGAGCTGTGCGAGAGGGCGCGGCTGGAGGAGGAGGCCAAGTTCATTCAGGCACAGAAGGAGGCCACCCGCATCCAGAGCGTAGAGGCAGCGCGGCTCCCGCATGCAGCAGGACCTCCAAGTAAAGGCGAAGCTCAGACACGCCGCCTGCAGACCCGGCGGCTACGACGGCTGCCAGCCTGGGCGCGGCCGAGTCGCCTGCGCCGCCCACCCCCGTGGCCTTTGAGGCTGACGGCGCGGATGCTGACGCGGACGTGGGCTCCGAGGGAGGTCGACGGCCCCGCTGCGGAGGCGCCCGTGCCCGAGCCTTCCCCGGAGCGCAAAGCTCAGCACCTCGCGCACATTGAGTCCGTGCGTGAGAAGGCCGCCAAGGGCCATGCTGAGCAGCTCGCGGCCAAGACCAGCGCCAAGGCCGATGCTGTCATTGGTTATGCTGGGCCTGTTGCTGCTGCTGCTGCTGCTGCTGCTGCTGCCAAGGGCGGCATCAATATCAAGTCGGAGTCGCGTGTTTGACATGCGCGTGGCGCGGGCCCCAGGGGGGGCGTCATTGGCGTCGGAGCCGCTGCCCCAGGAGGCGATGGCCCGAGGGCCTCCTCGTCTCGGGCCCAAGGGGCCCTCAGTGTTCTAAACCAACGTGGAGCGCTGGGGGCCCAGTCCGAGAGGTTTCTCGGTGATCATTTTGACGATGACGGTGCGATGGCAGCAGTTGGGACTCATCGCAACGATGTGAAGCATATGGATGCAGTGCGCAACTTGTCACGCTCGGGCTGGCGGGCGTCTGGCGCTGCTGCGGAGAGCTCGTCGAAGTCGAGCGCGGGCCCGAGAGGGGGCGAGCTGATCGCGGCCAGGTGCGATACGGCGACCTCCTCGTTCAGTTACTTAGCAGTTACCGCCCAGAGGCCTCCCAGAGGCGAGGCTCGACGGGTTCGGCCAGCTGACGCTGCGTCTCGAACAGGGCAAGATTGTGGTTGCGGCGGCGCATGTACTCCTTGGTTGCGGCGTGGGCGGAGCCAGCCGACGCAGGTTCCAGTCGTTGGCCGCGTTCCTCGCCAGCCTGGCGGACCCGCGGGTCGTGCTGGCCGATTGGGGCGCCGCGCCGGAGGAGTCATGCGCGCGAGGTTCCCGCAGAAGGTGCTGGGAGAGCTGCTGCTTCCCCTTGGCGCGGAGGCCACCTGCTTCAAGGGCAGCGGCAGGCTCATCGACTACGGCTTGCGCTCGCACGGTGCGGGCGACCTGGTCGAGCTGGAGACGGTTCTGGACGTGCCCCGGCAGGTGCACGCGGGGCTTCGGCAGCGGGCGGCGAGGGGCGGGCGTCGTCGGGCGCGTCGGCGGCCGGTCGCCCCGCTGGCGATCTCGACGCCGCCGAGGCCCAGACAGCAGCCCAACCGAGAGTCGAAGGCCAGCAAGCGGCGCACTGCCGCTCTGGCTCGGCGCCGCCATGCGCTGGCAGCACGCCCGCAGGCCGACGTCGTGGCGATGCAGTCTGGGTCGGACGCAGCGCTGCCGGCCCCGGCGTGGAGTTCTGCGGCGGGGGCGAGCTGGGCGGCCACAGGCCCCCCCCCCGGCGAGGCCTTCTTCTGCGTGGGCATGGACGCGCCGGGCCTCGCGCGGGCCCCCAGTCCGCCTCGCCCTGCCGAGGCGGGGCCGCGCGCCGCTGGCACTGGCGCGGGCGCGGGCCGCAGGCGCTGCCTGGTGCGGCCGCAGACTGCCGCCCCCAAGTCGCCAATCGTGGGTCTGACAGTTGGCCGCAACCTGTGATATATTGCGGCATCGGGCGGCAGGCGTCAGCATTGACTTCCAGCATGTTCGACCCCGCGGCGTGCGAGCTGTTGTCCTTGGCGGCGGCCGGGCCCCCCAAGGAGGCAGCCTGTGGGGAGTCGCCTGAATATTTTGTGCCGTCTGAGTCTTGGCGTTCTGCGAGGTCGGATCCCACGCAGACTGGACGTCTGGAACGTGACCATGGAGCGTCTGGGTGCGCATCGCCTGGCGTGCGTAGCAGGCGATGATGAGTCCGTCGCCAGCGCGTGCCATGCCAGCTGGGTCTCCAAGGCCGAGGAGGTGCTCCTGGAGGCCAGCAAGGTGCCTGACGGTGAGCATAGTTGGTATCGTGGTCGCGCTGCTGGCTACGATTTTCCCTGGCCGTCTCGGGGTCGATCTTGAAACCTCGGCGGCAGCGCTGGGGGGGGGGGGGCAGGCTCAGTGGGGAATGGTTATCGAAAGTTGTTGTGGGTTGTTCGGCGACGGCTTCCCAGCCTTAGGGCGCGTTCCAGCAGCTCCGTCTGGCCGAGAGGCTTCTGGGGTGCCCGGATCGTTCCGAAAGGCCGCCGGAGGCTCGATGTACGGCCCGAAAACCACCGGGGACGGGGATAGGCTCAGAGGGAACGCGTCGACCCTCAATCGCTCACTGATTGCCGACGGGGGCCCGATAGCGTGCCCCGCCCAGGAACGCTCGGATTCGCAACCCAGGGCCTATCGCGAATCCATCGACGATGCATCGCTGGTTCCAGGTCGATGTTGACCCCTCCGGAGCCAGTCCCCCTTGAACGTTCCCCATGATTCTGGCGCGGTCGGTCGGTTGGTCGATAAGTGTCATAGCCACCAGTGAAGCCCAAACTATTAAGAAAGCGAGACAACTTGGGGAAAGGTGCAGCAGAACAGCTCTTCCTCCTCCACTTCCTCTTCCTATTCCTCCTCCTCCTCCTCTTCCTCCTCCTCCTTGCTATTCACACTCTTCCTGGACACGCTCGTGTCTTTCGGTGGCTGTGTGCACAGAACGACAGCGCCGTGCGCGCTGACGAGCTGCGGTTGACGATGATCCCTGCTGGCAGGTTGTCGCCAGGGCATTGGAAGTCGAAATCGTATGTTGAGCATATGGCTGCCGCCTGCCGTGGATCTACTTCTGAGCTTGCGACTGAGGCTGCCCGTGTTTGTAGGCTCCCCCGAGTCCCTCTCGAGGCCTTTAAGCCCCAGCGGGCTGCGAAGATAGCTTGTGCGCAGTGCTGGCAATCGCGCTCGCTCGATTCGCTCCTGATGTCTCGCGTGTGCAAGATGTTCCCAGCGAAGGCCTTTGAGATTGCCCGAGAGGATTTTGTTGACGCCCGCCAGGTTTTAAACGAAGTTCCCCCGTCCTGGGCTTGGCCCTGGCTCAGAACGGTGTCTGGAGGGTGGCTTACGAGCCATCGTATTTTGCATGCTCGAGGAAAGCTGTCGTGTCTTCTTGGATGCGCAAATCAGCCAGATTCTTTGCGCCACTATTTATGTTGCCCCAGGTTAGCTTGGCCCATATCATGTTCCCTCCGCTCTCGTCCTTTATGCCTCGACCCCTTCGATCGTCTTGGGATCCCTGGATATTGCACCGTCCCTATAGTAGAAGAAATTTATGTTGCTACACACATGTATCATCAGTTTCGTCTCCTTCCTCCCGAGGTCCTCCTCCTCCTTCAGACTGCCCACGATGCAGCGCGTGCTGCAGTACGGGATCTCCGCCTTCCTGCACAGGCAGGACAGCGCGGGATAGGGTAGGGTGGGACGTCGTCGTCGTCGTCGTGCGCTTGCCTCTTCCTCCTCCTCCTCCTCCTCCTCCTCCTCCTCCTCCTCCTCCTCCTCCTCCTCCTCCTCCTCCTCCTCCTCCTCCTCCCAGGGCCTGCCTTCTTCTCGCACCCCTCGAATAGCACAGGCCTCCTTGGTGGGGTCCGAGCAGACGGGGTCGGAAGGCCGCGCCGCATCGCCGATGCAGCAGCGATGTCGCGGCGCGGAGCCCGACCTCCTCCGCGCCGGCGGCGCATCGGCGGACCCTTTTCGTTGGGGAGGGGTTCAGCGTTCCTTAAAGAGGCCTCGTTCCTTCATTTGGGTTCCTTATGACAGCGTTTCGACTGTAGACGTACGGGTGGCCGTTGGCCAGAGTGACCTTTAGTGCGGGCCCACTTGGGCCTCCCGATTGTTGAGGACGAAGCGGTAGCAGCGGCCTGCGCGCTTGCGCTTGGCCCCCATCGCGCCCTCCAAAGGCCGCGCGCCAAAGGCCACTCTTGCCCATGGCAAGGTCACCCTTGCGTGCAGCCGAGATTTTTTTCCCAACCATCCTGTGGTGTTGGGTCCTCGTTTTGAAGAGACAGCGCCCCGCGTCCCACCTCCTCTCCTCCTCCTCCCCCTCCTCGCCATCCTCCCATTTCGGCACACCCCTCACACGTTTCGTGGCCCCACAGGGAGCTCCACCGAAGGCCCCATGGCTGCCGTCCGCATGCGTCCCGCACGCCCATTTCGGCACACCCCTCACACGTTTCGTGGCCCCATAGGGAGCTCCACCGAAGGCCCCAGTGCTGCCGTCCGCATGCGTCCCGCACACCCATTTCGGCACACCCCTCACACGTTTCGTGGCCCCATAGGGAGCTCCACCGAAGGCCCCAGTGGCTGCCGTCCGCATGCGTCCCGCACACCCATTTCGGCACACCCCTCACACGTTTCGTGGCCCCATAGGGAGCTCCACCGAAGGCCCCATGGCTGCCGTCCGCATGCGTCCCGCACACCCATTTCGGCACACCCCTCACACGTTTCGTGGCCCCACAGGGAGCTCCACCGAAGGCCCCAGTGCTGCCGTCCGCATGCGTCCCGCACACCCATTTCGGCACACCCCTCACACGTTTCGTGGCCCCATAGGGAGCTCCACCGAAGGCCCCATGGCTGCCGTCCGCATGCGTCCCGCACACCCATTTCGGCACACCCCTCACACGTTCGTGGCCCCATAGGGAGCTCCACCGAAGGCCCCATGGCTGCCGTCCGCATGCGTCCCGCAACACCCATTTTCGTGGCCCCACTCCACCCCCCCAATGCACGGCGTTTCGTGGCCCCACAGGGAGCTCCACCGAAGGCCCCATGCTGCCGTCCGCATGCGTCCCGCACACCCATTTCGGCACACCCCTCACACGTTTCGTGGCCCCATAGGGAGCTCCACCGAAGGCCCCAGTGCTGCCGTCCGCATGCGTCCCGCACACCCATTTCGGCACACCCCTCACACGTTTCGTGGCCCCATAGGGAGCTCCACCGAAGGCCCCATGGCTGCCGTCCGCATGCGTCCCGCACACCCATTTCGGCACACCCCTCACACGTTTCGTGGCCCCACAGGGAGCTCCACCGAAGGCCCCAGTGCTGCCGTCCGCATGCGTCCCGCACACCCATTTCGGCACACCCCTCACACGTTTCGTGGCCCCATAGGGAGCTCCACCGAAGGCCCCATGGCTGCCGTCCGCATGCGTCCCGCACACCCATTTCGGCACACCCCTCACACGTTTCGTGGCCCCATAGGGAGCTCCACCGAAGGCCCCATGGCTGCCGTCCGCATGCGTCCCGCACACCCATTTCGGCACACCCCTCACACGTTTCGTGGCCCCATAGGGAGCTCCACCGAAGGCCCCAGTGCTGCCGTCCGCATGCGTCCCGCACACCCATTTCGGCACACCCCTCACACGTTTCGTGGCCCCACAGGGAGCTCCACCGAAGGCCCCAGTGCTGCCGTCCGCATGCGTCCCGCACACCCATTTCGGCACACCCCTCACACGTTTCGTGGCCCCATAGGGAGCTCCACCGAAGGCCCCATGGCTGCCGTCCGCATGCGTCCCGCACACCCATTTCGGCACACCCCTCACACGTTTCGTGGCCCCACAGGGAGTACCGGGGACTCGTCCGCATGCGTCCCGCACACCCATTTCGGCACACCCCTCACACGTTTCGTGGCCCCATAGGGAGCTGCCACCGGCACAGGCCCCATAGGCTCCATGGCTGCCGTCCGCATGCGTCCCGCACACCCATTTCGGCACACCCCTCACACGTTTCGTGGCCCCACAGGGAGCTCCACCGAAGGCCCCAGTGCTGCCGTCCGCATGCGTCCCGCACACCCATTTCGGCACACCCCTCACACGTTTCGTGGCCCCATAGGGAGCTCCACCGAAGGCCCCATGGCTGCCGTCCGCATGCGTCCCGCACACCCATTTCGGCACACCCCTCACACGTTTCGTGGCCCCACAGGGAGCTCCACCGAAGGCCCCAGTGCTGCCGTCCGCATGCGTCCCGCACACCAGGTGTGTGGCGTGCCGACATGGGCGTCGCGGCGCGCGGGCGCTGCCGTCGGGGTTCCCAGGGAAGCCCCCTGCAGAGGCGACGCTCAGAGTCACGAGTACCGAGAGTCACGCAGACCCAAACTGTTCACAGTCGTATACATACATTTACACTGGGCGTATCCATGCACGCATTCATGCGAATAGAATCAATCGCGCGCAGATTCATTCATAATCAGACTCGCTCGCGATCCGACTCGCACGCGCTCAAGCTTTCATATTCGGACCTATCGTCTTCGTTCGTGTTGTGTACACTGCCACGCATTTCGGCACACCCCTCATACGGCTCGTGGCCCCATAGGGAGCGCCACCGAAGAAGATATTCACAATTGCGGTACTCTCAACTGCATATGGTTGGGTCCTTCGCCAGGCTAATTTTTTTTCAGCCCGGGCGCTCGTGTTCGATTGCGGCCTCCGGGGGCCGTCGTCGGGCTCAGGGGCCGTCGAACGTGGGCCCGGGACGCAGAGCGACCCCGAGGCCAGCGCAAGAGGAACACGGGGAGGATGGGCTCGCCAATGAGCCGGGGCCTGCCCGCCGCCCAGCCGCGAGGCCTGGCTCGCCGGCGTTTGGCAGGCGCAGGAGCGGTCCGCCCCCGCCGACCGCCCGCAGCCGCCGCCGCCGCGCCGCCGGGTGAGGTCTCGCGGGGTCTCGCGGTCCTCTCGGGCTTCTCCGGTTTGATGCCAGCAGCCCGTGTCGGAGACCCGGAGCGCTCTCGTCGCCGCCCTCGGGAGCGCGCCATTTCGCGCGACATGCCTGGGGCCCGACCGTGACGCTCGGGGCCTGGGCCATCGGCGCAGCGAAAAGGCAAGTGTCAGGAAGACAGTTCGTCGGGTTGGGAGGATGGGGTCGGGAGCACTGGGGATGTATGTCATTACCTTCACGTCAGGCGGCCGAAGAGATCGTTCATTGCATCCGGACGCTACTGCGCATGCCCTTTTTCCTCCCAGCCCCTTCCTCCCAACACGAGAAGTGTCTTCCTCGAAATGGCGGCCCGTCTCTGTACGCTCTCGGCCTCCAGGAGGCGCCTGGTTCGGGCCGCGGGGTAATCAGCAACAGAGCGGCGCGGGGCGAAGAGCCCGTCCAGGGGGGATGGGGTCGGGAGTTTCAGGGGCCCGCGTCGCGACAAAGTCGGGACGTCGGGTGTCATGCGATTCCTCGCCCCTGTGAGTCCCCGTGCCCCATCTCAGCGGGAATGGGGCCGCTGAGAAAAGGTGGGGATCTCGGAGTGACGCCCCCATGGGCCCTTCGAACACCATCGAGGACGGACGCCCTCCCCAGTCGTGTACAGTCAGGAGCGTTTGCCCAGCGTGTCGCGCCGCCGGCTTTGGCCCACAGCGCTTCGGCGCGACCCGCTGACCGCGTCCCGGTCCCCAGGCGTCACCGTCCGAGCCCGCCGAAACCTCTCGCCCAAGGAGAAGAGCGACACGCCGTCCGCTTGCAGGGCACAGCGTGTCGCTGGGGCGGCCGCCGCGACACGCTGAGCCAAAGTTCCCCGCGCGGTATACCCGAGTTGGGCCCCGATTTCTGTGCCCAGCCGAACAAGAACCTGCTGTAAGTCCGCGTGCGCCAGAGTGTGCGAGACTGTTAGGCGCGGTCGAAGCGAGCGGTGGGCTGCACCGGAAGCTCAGGCAGGAACGAAGTGGAACAGCAAGAGACGAGAGAAACAGACGAAGGCGGAGCCCGATCAGACTATGCAGGTCGGCGCGGGAGCGCTGGAGGGGGACCTGCGGCTGCGTGCACCGAACGAGGAACACTGAGAGCAGGGGAGCGGGTTGGCCGTGCCCCCGGCCAGCGCTTGGGCGGGTCACAGGCCCGGGTGCGAAGAGCAGCGCGCAGTTGCGCTCCGCGGTCGGGGCAGGGGAGGGCCGCTCTTCCTCGGAGGTGGGCGGGCGCGGGGGCTCAGAGGTGCGGCAGCTCTTCGCGCGCCGCGCTGGTCGGAGCTCGGGGCCACCACGAGGGCGCGAAGTTCGGCTCGCTGCGCGGTCTGGGCGATTTCGGAGCGAGGCGCGAGTCCCACATCCTGTTCCGGGGGGTGGGTGGCGCGAGCGCGTGAAGATGATCGCGCTTCGCGGAGCGCGAAGCGCGAAGGTAGTTGTCCTAGGGAGCGCGGAGGCCCGTGCAGGGTGCGGGGGGGGGGGTCTTGTTTACATCACCGCGGAGAGAGTGTGATCCTCTGGGCCCCAGGTTGGCGTTTCCATGTTAAGGATGAGCACCTGTCCAAGGTTGCCCTTTCATCCTTGCCCCCTCGGCCCATCCTTGGCGACCTTCGCTGGCCAACCCCGTTCGAAAAACGTCAACATAGTCTGCCAAGGCCCTTGCACCCTTACCACGCATTCTCATCATGCGTTGTGACTGTACTATAGATCTTACCTCGGGTGATGACCGTTCAGCCTCGGCGGATATCCTGGTTTGTGGTGCGCTGCTCCGGATTCGCATTGCAGTGGCCCTGATGCCTGCAACGATTGATACAGTGTTCCTCCGTTGGAGCACAAAGTTCAGATCATCGACGTATACACGTACATGAGAAAGAGATATGAGGAGGGATGGGGGCTGAGGGGGTCGAGGCGGGAAGAAGGACGAAGTGGGGCGGGATTGAGAGAGGAGGGAGGGAGCAAGGAAAGAAGAGGGCGACAGGAGGTAGGAGAGAAGCAGGAGGGACGCAGAAGGCGGTGAGGAGGACCCTCAGCCTTACTCGCCTCCTTCTTCTCGTCCTCCCTCTCTCGCGGACGCGCTCGAGGGGCATGGGCCCTCTCAGAAGGGATCGGCCCACTTGAAACGTCCGCCCCGTCCCTCCTGAGAGGTGGCGGGGGGGGGGCCTATTACGCTCACCCCTTGCGCGCCACCGCCAGTGAGTCGTGCGTTTGCGTAGCGGTCGGGCCGACAGTTCTGACCCACCACGCCTGGGCGCGACTTGGTCTCCACCTCCTGGTCCCCCAGCATCAACGGCCCGAGTCTTTCCGGACCTCTCGCCACGCGAAGCATGGTGACATGCTATCGGCTCGCAGGGCATAGCGTATCGCCATGTGTCGCCACGGCTGCCGCCGCGACAAGTTAAGCAACATGTTCCGACCGTATGGAAGGTCTGTTCCCGGTTCTATCGGAGGGTCTGCGCACCGCAGGCGCGCCTGTCCCCCTGCAGGCACGCCGGCCCTTCCCGGCGCCGGCAGCTTCGTTCGTCCGTTCCCCCCTCGCGCGGCCCTGCGCGCCGCCAATCGCCTCCTTGTCCGCGTCGTCGTCCTGGCAAGGGTGGGAGGCCGCGGGGGGGAAGGGCAGGGGCGGCGCTTCCGCTCGGCGGAGACAGACGGGGCGGATTCCCTTGGGGGGGGGGCGCACAATGCATCTGTCCAGGGGCGCAGATGGCCCGCGTGTTTGGTGAGGCTCGTCGGAGGGGATCGCGTGTGCTGCCCGCGCCGATGGCCCACGTGCTCGGCGACGGCCTCTGTGGAGGCCCTCGGGTCACCCACCCGGCCCTCCCTCGTCTTCCCCTCAGGGCCGAGGCCTGCCCCGCAGGGCAAAGTCCCGAGGGACGACGCCCCACCCCGGCCCCGATGGCCTACAGGCCCTGCGAGGGGTTGGCACAGGGCGTGGGGTGGCCTCTTCCCCGCGAGGTATAAACACTCACGGGTAGCTGAACGGATAACTCTGCCGGCCCCCAGGCCTAGGGGGGTCGGGCCTCTCGCGCGCCCGCCCCTCGCGAAGCCTCGGGCCGACCTCTCGGATCGGGGTTGGGTCAGGCCGCTGGGAGCCTGTCGTCGCTCATTGCAACATCGCCCCCCTCCTCTTTTCTCCTCCTCCTCCTCCTCCTCCTCCTTTCCCTCCTCCTGCTCCTTTCCCTCCTCCTCCTCCTCCTCCTCCTCCTCCTCCTTCTCCTCTTCCTCCTCCTCCTCCTCCTCCAGCCGTACTGGCACAGGCGAGTCTCCTGTGCTTGCAAGCACGTATCTTCAGTGCGGCTCGTGCTTGCGGGCCAATATCTACGATCATCCCGACAGTGCTGGCTCCATCCCAGTGCGGCGGCCGATGGCACCGCCGCCGCCTGACCTGCCTGATGTCCTGCGCGGCCCCAGGTGGCCGACGTGGGCCTGCGGGGCCTGTGGCGTGGCACCCTCCAATTGGGCCTGCCGTGTGCGATGCGCCTGTGGGCGGGAGGCCCCGCTGCGCATCCGCAAGACGGCCGTGGAGCAGCACCAGCGCTGGGAGAAGGAGCATGCTGCTGGCGGCGGAGGCCGAGGCGGCAAGGGCAAGAGCGCGGGCCCCAGTCAGCGGGCCCCATCGTCGACTGTGCCGTCCGAGCTCGGCAAACGGTTGGCGGAGATCGAGAAGCTATTGCGCGGGCAGACAACCCAGCCTGCTGACAAGGAGGGCGAGGCCAGCGCCAAGCCCCCACCGTGGCAGGCCAGTGCTGACCCCAAGAAGGATAACACCATCGCGGACGACGACACTGATGAGACCAAGAAGCGCAAGCTTTAGAACCAGCTGGCATGCTTCGAGGCTAGTCTCAAGTCGGTCCCCCGCGGCTCGGATAACGATGAGCTCCGTTCGAGCATCCAGCGGAAGATTGAAGGAATACGTGACCAGCAGAAGGCTCTGCGCACCCCCGCTGTGGTGCACCGCAGGGCCACGTCGGATCTGCAGAAGGCTACGGCTGCAGTCACCAAGCTGGAAGCGGACGTTGCTGAGAAGCAGAAGCAGTTCGATGAGCTGCAAGAGTCCCTCAAGAACAAGCGCGCCACGCTGGAGGCCAAGAAGATCGAGGTCGGTGCTGCGCGCGGAGGTCAGCCAGGCAGCACAGCAGCTTGGCGGCACAACCACGGACAAGCCAGAGTCCAACCCGCTCGATGTCAAGCCAGACGATGTCGATGATGAGGAAGTGCGAACGCTGCTCGGGTCTACTGCCTGGGCCAAGCTCCGTGAGCACCTCGCAGGTAAGATGCCTGCCCCCAAGGATGCCTCCATGCCCCAGGCGCCTGATGATGTTTCTGGTGATGCTGGCGGTGACGGCGGCGGCGACCCCAAGCGCTCCCTGGATGAGCTGGAGGAGGATGAGAGAGAGCAGCTCTTCGAGGCGGCCAAGTCAGGTGCAGAGGCGTTTGCCAAAACACTCGGCGACATGGCCAAGCGCAGGAAACGTTCCTGACCTTCCTCTTATGTCAGGTCTGCGGCTATGTGGTGGAGCTGTTCGACGTCCTGTGCAGCCTAATGTTCAAGGCACATTCTTTGTCGAAGCCTTCAATGCTTCTGGAGGCCGCGACACGTTGAAGACACGATTGTCCAGGACGAAAGCTACGATACTTCTTTGCCAGGAGATAGGATACACCGAGGACAGCTTGGATGATCTCTACTCCTGGGCTCAGAACCGACAGTGGAAATGCTCGGCCATACCTGCCCGTCGTACGTCAGGAAGCGTTCCCTCAGGTGGAGTTGCGGTGTTTGCTCGAGATGCACTGGGCCTTCGGCATCCACCTCAAGGGCAGCTGATGTGGGACCACCGCCCTCAGCAGGTTATCGTTGACATCAGCGGATGGCCCCCCATCACGATCTTCAATGTGTATATGCAAGACTCCCTAGGGGCTGTCGGAATCAATGCTGAGATGTTAGCTGCTGCAGGCCGCGCGCTTGCGACATGTTCTGGGCCTGCCATCATGGGTGGCGACTGGAACATGTCACCGACAGATCTGGAG